AGGAAGGGGCAGTGACAAGGGTAGGGGGGTGAGCTAGGAGCCACTTTGTGTGGTTCACGGCGGAGCTTCTCTACCCGAGAACCTGCAAATATCTCCCCCAAGTCTGACACGTCCTGAAGGATCCATATTGATCCACAGGGCTAGGCAGAACTGCAGCTCCAAGTTGCTAGCATGTCTCATGGCACAATTGCAGACAGCTGAGGCGGGGGGGGGCATCATAGTGTTGGTCTGGAATAGCTGAGAATAGCTGACATATGGCTAAGTCAATACTATTACATTCTAGGAGGCTCATTTCCCTCCTCATTGTGTAAACTTGTGGTTATCATTAAAGGCAAAATGTCCTAAAAGGTGGTAGGAATGAAATTAGTAACTTTAAGAAATGTCCTTACTGAGTACAGACACAGTTCTATCTCAGATGGAGGATAAAACATACAGCTTCCTTGCTGAAAAAGAACTCATTGCCATCTTCTCTTGCTCTATCTACCTCAGAGGTTTCTGAGGAGACTTCTTCACTCCTGTCCTTTGCCTGGATTGGGGTGTCTTTTATACAGAGTCTCCATAGATGAGCACCTGAATCAAGTCAGATCCAGTGCCTGCCTGGTAGGCGCAAAACCCTGGGTTCTATCTCCTCACACCACTGAGGAACACGTGCCGAGAAAACTCAGCATGGCGGCACATAAGGGGGTGGAGGCAGGAGGATCAGGAGTTTAAGGTCATCCTTAGCAATATGTCAAGTTCAAGACCATGATGGACTACATGAGACCTTGCCTCTAGCATTTCCATGCAAAGACATGTGAATGCAATTCAGAGGGACATCGATCATTAAAATAAAAAAAAAGGCAATCACTGAAATGTATATTAACCTGTGATGGGATGTGGTGCTTGAATGGGAAATGGCCCCCCCACAGGCTCAGGCTCAAGTGTTTGAATCCCAGAACCTTGGGTGGTGGTACAGAGTTAGGGGAAGTTATGGAACCTTAAGAAGGTGGAGCCTTGTTGGAGGAAGTGAATCACTAGAGGGTGGGTTTTAAGAATGTATAGCCTCTCCCCACTTCCTGCTCCTTCTGCTTCCTGTGTGCAGATAGAATGTGAGCATTGCGCTTTCTGCACCTACCACCAAACCTTGTCTTCCCGGCGCCTATGAACCGTCCCTCTGGAGCCATCAGCTAAACCATGCCCTTCCTACCTTGAACTGCTATTTGGCCACAGCAGCAGAAGAGCAAGTCATACGTGGGAGAGCCAAAATGTGTTTCGTTCCACAACGGTATGAATATCACAACCGAGGGCGAGGCAGTGATGCGCACTGGGTCACGGGCGAGAATCAAAAGTGGAAGAAAGCGGCAATGAGCACGTGGCTCGGGAGTTCATTTTGTAAGGTCCAGAAAAAAAAAAATGGACCTGGAGAGACGGGAAGTAGACCGGTACTTGTCAGGACTTGGGGGTATGGGAAGAAATAGGCAGTGCTTGCTGATGACCATGGAGCTGCCTTTTGGGGCAGCAGAAGTGTTCTAAAGTTAGAAGAG